TTCTATTAAGTACATAATTTAAATTCACCGTATTTCTTTTATCTAAATAATTTTAATTTGCCCAATTTTTATTATGTATATAATTTTAATTTGTCGTATTTCTTTTATGTAAATAATTTTAATTCGCTGAATTTCTATATGTACATAATTTTATTCTTGAATTTTTATTGTGTATTTAATTTTAATTCTTGAATTTCCATTATGTTTTAAAATTTTATTCGCCGATTTTTTACTATGTACAGTACGTAAGTATTCTTGAATTTCTATTATGCGTTATAATTTAATAATTTGTTTGGCGCGCGCGAAGCGCGCGCTTGTGTTATCTATAGTTTTATATAAAAAAGGCATGCCTTTCTTTGTTGAATTCTCGAATGTATATTGCGGTACACTCGAATGTATCGAAGATCTCTCGAAAGTCTCGAAGTATATATTGTTATATATACATATATATATGTTATTATATATCATCTCTATATATATATATATATATATATATATATATATATATTAATAATTATATTAATAATACATATCTGCTATGAAAAGAAAAAATTAATATATCTATTTTAATTTTATTCAATAAGTATATTTAACATATATAGTTTGATTATTAACAAATTAATATGTTGTATGCAGTGTTGTGCTTAGATGATTTTAAAATATGAGATAAAAAGATGTAAATTCATCATTCTCTAGATAAGATAAAGATGATTTTGAATTTAAATATATCTAGATAAAAATTAAATTATATATATAGCGATTTATATCTAGATAACTTCCAGATAATATTATTTTTAAAATCGCTTATATATGTATATAAACACAGTTATTTTAAAAAATATGTAAATTATAACAGGATTATAAAAATATACATATTTTTATTTGTAAATTTTTATTGCTTACTGCTTAAGTTCTACTATTTAAGTATTTTTATGTGCTATATGACTCTAAAGCAAATTATCTGAACATTAATTCTAGATATTTTAGTATAAAGATAACACTTTTCATCTAAGATGCAGATATAGATAATATATATTTTTATTATCTATATAAAGATAAAATGACGCCAAATTTCATCTAGATGATCATCTATATAATTTTATTTAGATAACAAACGGATAGCGAGCGCGATGCGCCTAAAGCGTGCTGTCAAAAGTGCCGCTTTACGTCGGTACGTCATTCGGCAGGGGCGCACGTGTAGTTCGCTCTATTGCGTGCTGTCTGTTGCGCTTGCTGTTGCCACAGATTAATAGACAGATCGCCAAAGGTCTGGATGAAGGAGAGACCAGCATTTCTCACTGATTTCAGCGCCATATCGTAGTAGTGGTCAATGCAGTAACTATTAATACATTCCCAAGATAAGAGCGTCTCATGCTCATGAACTCGTCCGGCGGCATGTACGAGATTTATCTTTTCGTAGCGTTCGCGTATTTCGGAAAGGACAGAATTTTATGATGTTATAAATAAATAAATAAATAAAATATTAACCTGACCTATTATAATTATTTTTTAATAAATGTTTCATTATTATTATCATCTAAGTCTAAGTCGTTTAATTAATTTTTAGTTTTTTAATAATCAATTTAATTTATTCTAATCATTTTAATATGTGAAAAATACTAATACGTATACGTTTTATAATGAATTAATATATTTCGAGAGTCGAATTATATATTTTTAATAATATAAAAGTGTTCAAAAATTATATTTGACTTTTAATTTTAATTATTTTAGCAAAGAGTTCCGAAATCTCTTACACACATAATAGGGATTTTGTTCATCCATATAATTCGCAATTAAGTATATATGTTAATTATTAATTTTAATAAAATACAAAATTAAAATTAAAGGTCAAATATAATTTTTGAACATAAATATATTTAATTCGTTATAAAACGTATACCCGTGATAGTATTTTTCTCGTACAAAAATAACTAGAATAAATTAAATTACTCATAAAAAAATAAAAAAATAATTAAATAATTTATATTATATATGATAATAATAAAACATTTTATAAAAAAAACAGATTCAATAAATATAAGTATATATATAACATGTACTTATATTTATTGAATCTGTTTTTTAATAAAATGTTTTATAAGCTTAGAAAACTTGACTTTGACGTAACTAGCAAATTTTATTTAATTATTTCACGACGGTTTGACGTAATAAAATGTTTTATTATTATTATATAAAATATAAGTTTAAATTCTTTAATTAATTTTTAATCTTTTATGATTAATTTAATTTACTCTAATTATTTTTGTACGAGAAAAATACTATCATGGGTATACGTTTTATAATTAATTTAATATATTTGTGTTTAAAAATTATATTTGACCTTTAATTTTTATTTTTATTTTATTAAAATTAATAATTAACATATATACTTAATTGCGAATTATATGGATGAAAAAAATCCCCATTATGTGTGTAAGAGATTTCGGAACTCTTTGCTAAAAAATAATTAAAATTAAAAGTCAAATATAATTTTTGAACACTTTTATATTATTAAGAATATATAATTCGGTTCCCGAAATATATTAATTCATTATAAAACGTATACGTGATATTATTTTTCTCATATAAAAATGACTAGAATAAATTAAATTAATTATTAAAAAACTAAAAAGTAATTAAACGACTTAGACTTAGATGATAATAATAATGAAACATTTTATTAAAAAAAGATTCAATAACTAGTAGGTCAGGTTATAATTTTTTATTTATTTATTTATAACATTATGAGCTATTAAGCTCATCATCTCGTTCGCTCTCTGTCTTGCTTTCATTCGGCAAGTCACAAACGATATATGATACTCGTATGTTCCTACTTCAACTCTCGAGAATTTGAAACAAACGAAACTCGTGTCCAATATACAGGGTGTCCGGTAACTAACAGACCAATAATTACAAATGGATTCTTTGGTCAATTTGGGAACGATTTTTCCTCAGCGAAAATGTCGAAAAAGGTCATCATTTTTTACAACTTTCCAATCTTTGTCATTATGTATCTTTATAACTAAGCCTTAAATTAAAATTTTATTATAGTAAACTCTACCTGAAATTAACTGAAGAATGTAATTATGTTAGACTTTTAACTCCAAAACGTTTAGTTTTCAAAAAACCTATTTTTTTCAATCGCTTATAACTCGAAAATTATTGACTTCTCAACATTTTTGCTAAGGAAAAATCGTCTCCAAATTGGCCAGAGAATCCGCCCTTAATCATTGGTCCGTTAGTTACCGGACACCCTGTATATATTATATAAAAGTGTATAGCACGTCAGAAGCTTGTGAGCTTACAGCGATAAGTAAAAACAATTGCGTATCTATTTCATTGCGTTTATCTGTTTAAACGCGCGCTTTAATTTTTCCAACGTTTTTGCCTGTTTATATTTTAAAGGTCCTCTCTTCTAAAAATCTTGTTTTAAAGATCCTCTCCGCGAGCAAAATTCGAAAACATAAATTATTTAATATTTTTACTTTATTATTTGTAAATCCTCGGTAATTTCAAAATTTTTCTATTTGAAAATTATTAATTTTCTATTGCCAATTAATTTTATCACAGACTTTACTCTTACTCCCATTGCACTTTCGTTTGCGGTTTTCAGTATACGATTTTTTATCGTAGTTACTGAAAATTATTATTGTGAATTATACTTGTGCAGTGATTTGAAGAATTTACAATTTCGTTGAAATTGTTGATTTTTCAAAAAAATTACGAGATTCGCGGAAATTGCGTGCTTTCTTGGCATTTTCCGTTCGCGGCAGGCGGTTTATTTTTGATTGTTGCAAGTGTTTTTGTTTTTTTTTTTTTTTTTTGATAATAATAATGTGAAATAAATCACGATATTTGACAGATGTGCATATATATAGAAATTGTAATAATAATAATATTATATCATAAAATTGTAAATTGTTTCAATTTTTTATAGACTGCGATAAAAGATTTTACATTTGGATAAGAAACTGCGGTAAGTAAAAATATAAAATTCTTGAAAACGTACCAAAAATATTTGATAACGTAAAAAGGTGAACTTTGAAAAATAAGGAACTTAAAAATTGCACTAATAAATGGGCTATATGTGAGCCGTGCGCGGATGTAAGGTGTGTTATATCGAAATTTAATTAATAGAATTGAGAATTAATCCCAATTTTAAGTCTTACAAATGTCCAAGCTAATTTTTTGTACCTCGTGTACATTTTTGAAAGTTATATCGAAAAATTAAATTTCAATATGCGTCTTACATCTCACATTTCGCATACGGCTCACATATAGCCTATTTATCTCTTATACTTTATTTCAACCCTTATAGAAATTTATTACTAGTAACGCCAATTTATCACTTATTTCGAGTAATTAATCACTTTTATTTCGAATACTTAAATTACTGTATATTATAGTATTTTAAATACTCAAAATAAGTGATTAATTGGCGTAGTGATAAATTTCTACAAGAGAATAAGGAGCCTTTAAATTCTTAATGTAAAAAATTTCAAGTAATTTTCTTTAATAAAATTTAATTAAAAAATTTAATTAAAAATTTTGAACACTGTGTTATATCACATTTAAAATCGTGATTATTTCAATAAAAAAACATTTTATGTGTAAAAAATATATTTTTTATATTTAATAAATTTTTATATATATATGCATATATGTAAAATATTCTCTCTCTCTCTCTCTCTCTCTCTCTCTCTCTCTCTCTCTCTCTCACACACACACACACACACACACACAACGGGGGCCAAATCTCTCAAATTGGTCTCATGATCAATTAGCCTGGATTCGCACCAGGGGCAAAGTCTGTTGGTAATGTCAAACGAATTTAGCCTGGACTTGCACCAGGGGCAAAGTCTTTTGGTCGAGTCTACGAAATTTAGCACGGACTCGAACCAGGGGCAAAGTCTTTTGGTTCAAGTCTACGAAATTTAGCACGGACTCGAACCAGGGGCAAAGTGTGTCGGTAAGGGGCAAAGTCTATCGCACGAAGATGGCGGTCTCTTCTTTAGGCAGGCCTTTGGCGATCTGTCTATTAATCTGTGCTGTTGCGCGATGACGATGGTATCGCACTACTTGCGAGTTACGAGCCGAACGACGGCGTAACGTAACCTCTCATGTTAAGTTTAGACTTGAGCGAAAATTGCCGGAATTTTCTCTCATTTGCCGCATCGGTCTGCGACCTTTTTTTGTGACGTGTGACGCGGCTGGCGAGTATGTCATGTTCGGAATCGTTGACATCGAGCGACTCGGCTAGCGTGCGATAATCTCGTAAATATACGTAACGCGAGGACAACGACAACGCATCTATCGCGAGGAATGGCCTCTCCGAAGCTCGGAGTGCGATGAACCAGTTATGTTGCCTTCCACCGGTTATTTTAAAACGATAAATTGCCCGTTTTATGACAGCGGATCGTGCGATCGGCCCTATTGTCACTTTAAACATGCTAGGCGAGGTAAGAGCGTGCGATCTCAGGATCTTCTTCAACGATGTATATAACCTACCAAGCTATAAATCTCTAGTCTCTATGAGATGTGTATTCCGCAAGTTGTTTTTTGGTCAAATTGAACGACATTGCTGCACGATTGGAAAGCTGTCGGATTATAATTGTTGAGATCTTAGGATGATAAATCCTTTGTTCATTTCCATTGTCTATAGAAGAACAAAAATGAGAAAATTGATGTTCTCTGTATGACACATCATGCTATGACTATGACAAAGACTATACAATATTTTTATATCTTTAGCTAATATTTTTATAATTAATTAATGATTGTTTTATATGTCTCTAAGAATCAAAGTTAATGTACTCGTAGATCAGTGACTATCCTAAATAGCAAAATTTGTTAAATATGCAAAAATATATGTCTTATAAAATAACGTTTGTAAATTACTAAAAGCTATTGTATAATTTATACAGAAGATGCAGGAAGCAGCACAGCAGGAATGGCTGGAGTGGTGGAGGCCCAGGCAGCGGGACAAGCTCAGGAGGACAAATCTGCCAATGTTGTGGCCTCGAATCCTGATATGCTACAACACTTAGTGACAGAAGCTGTGAAAAAGGTGCTTGCGGATCAGGAAGTCACAGACACGGAGAAAGTTTCACAGAACATTGTCTCTCAAGTAGTGGAAGGACTCAAGCCAACTCTGGGTTCTGGTTCTACTGGCCCTATGCGCAACACTACATCAAATATTGTAGGAAAACACATTGCAATTCCCACGCCCATCACAAACCCAGTCACGTGTGTTTACAATCCAACACCAATAGCCGAATTAAAAAAACGACACATACCTGTAGTTTCGTATATGCCAACCAGGGAGAGTAGAGTGGCTGTGAAACGTAAATTTTCGCCAGAACGAGTTAAACCATGGTTAAATCTTATACAGGAATCCAGCAGTTCTCAGTCATCTGAAGTTACATATAAACCTACTGCGATAGTCAATTCAACTGATCAGGATATTGTACAAAGTTATGTACCGACAGTTAAATCGGATTCATCCTCATCAAATTCGTATGACGATAGTAACTCGAACGATAATCAATCTAAATTCAAAAAGTGTACTATCCAAAATCTAAGAAAAGACGAGAGGAATACGTTCCTAAAAATGTTAAGGCACCATTAAAAACAGTTCAACAATTAAACCATGATACTTTGGATCAGTTTGAACCAGAATTTAATATGATAGATGAGATTCTTATTACCAATCACAATACTTCTAAAGTATTGGGACAAGCTAAAACATCGGCCAGTGAAGATTCTCAAGATTACTCTTTGGATATTGAGCCTAAATTTTTTGATGATGAATCTGTAGAAGACATATCTAAGGACGAACATAATACGAGCATTGAAAAAGTTGAACATATAGAGGACGCGAATGAAAAAGAGAAGGAAAACTTGCAACATGCAAAAGTTGATACTGTAGATAAACAAACGAGCAATAAAGATAAAAAAATGCATAATAATCACTATGATATTAAAACGGATGATACAAAAAGTAGTAATAGATCTAAACATAAAGCAAGTGACACAAGTAAATTATCTCAGAAAAGAGAGGATAGTAAAAAGAGAGAACTGACAAGGAAAAAGAAACATAAGAGTCATAGTAAAAGTAAGAAAAAGGATAAGAAAGATCATCATAGTTCTGAGAGGAGAGACAAAGAAAGATCTCGGCATTCTACAAATTCCAGAGATAGACATCGTTCATCTTCTAGTAGAGATAAAGATAAGAGGAAAAGCAACCATGATAGTAAAGATTCTTCGCGTCGAAGTAGAGATCACTCGAACTCACACAGACATAGACATACTTCTCCAAAGAGAGATCGAAATAATCATCATAAATCTAGCCAGCACGACAAGCATAAATCGAGAACAAATTCATCTAGTTCAAATAAACATACGTCCAGCAGAAGCGACAAGAAACATCATTTGAAATCAAGTCGAAGATCTAGTAATTCTCCCAAAAAATCTAGCAAACATAAAGAGAGTAGTAGTGAAAAGAATTCATCTGGTAGTTATGATAGTCCTGCAGACAGTATTCATTCTTTTATGGACGAAGAGATTTTAGAATTATCAGACTCTGATCATGATGTACAAGAAGAATGTCTAAAGATTTTTCAGGTAAATTTTTATTTAAATATTTACATATAAAAATATTTGATATATTCAACTTTTTTTTATTATTCTTTGCAGTAGTTTAGATTTGCATTTTAATTAATTAAAGTATACATGTATATTGCAAATTATATTTAAAATTTTTCTCATTCATTTCATAAAAATGTTTTTATTAATAAAAAATAAAAAAATTTAATTTTGTTTTTACTTAATACATTGGATAAACTTTATTACTTAATGTTATTTGTATTATTCATTTTGAAGGAATATCAAGCCTCTGATCATCCAAAATTAGTATCGATCAAAAAATCGAAAGAAGAAACCGAAGATGTGGAAGAAGTTGGTAAGAAAAGAGTTGCGCATCCTTCAGCGGCTACAAGCGTCACCAGACAGTTAGGTCCTAGTCAGCCACCAAAAAAGCTCATGACACCACAACAAAAAATGTACGAGCGATGGCGTTTGATGAAGGAAGCAGCGGTCGGAAAGGCTGCAGAGAAGGCGGCGACAGCTGATACGAAGCCTCAAATTACATCTGTGTCAGCAGTTCAGTCTTCGAGTAACTTACACAAAGAGCATATCGAGTCTGCTTTGTCAATAAGCAACAGCGATTTTCAACCGAATGGCAAGTTGAATAACGTGGCAATTAAATTATGCTTTATTTCGACATATTTTTTTTATTAATATCTTTTGTAATGTGTATTGTAGGTCGCATTAGAATCGCTCATGTTCCATATGCACAATCTCTTGCAATGGAGAAGAAAAAAGTTGCGGTGACAGCGAAAAAATGCGGAGAGAACAAAGAAATAGATAAGACGACAGCGCAAACTACGAAGGGCGGTGTACGTGTTGCTCACATTCCGCAAATGGTAAGTCTTAATTAGAAACTTCAGTATTCCAGTATAAGTTAATCATACGAGTGTCCGTATACATATACACTGCGCATTATTTATTAAAATTATATTTATACGCAGGTACCTCAACTGGTACGTCCAGAACCGCTCCAAGTCGCCACGCAGAAGTTTCCCTTAAATGTTCGTCAGTATTATATTAATATAATGCACGATATATGCGTGCAAATATATACGAATGGCGATGATGCAGCGCAACGCGCCGTTAAAGAGGAATTAGCTTGTCACGAAAGATGTAAGGCGCTCGCTGTATATAAAAATTCGTGTATGTTGGCGGCTCATAGACTGAGGAAGGAAGTTGATCAGAATAAATCGGATGAAAAGTCCGCCAGATTGAATTACGGTATGGTATCTCACGAAGCAGTGCTTGCTGGCAAATCAAAGGGTTCTTGGAGCGTAGTAAAGAGTAAAAAGACCGTGACAGATTTCAAAGGACCTGCGTTCTACAATATGCTCAAAAAATATATCATGACTGAGACGCAGCTGAGAGATAATGGATTTCCACGTAGACATCCGAATGGTTTAAAGGTAAAGAAAACTTCTAGACAATAAAATGCAAATAAGGAATAAGTGTGATGTACAATTACAACTTTTTCGATCAAAATTAATGGTGTTTTTAGCTACAATAAAATATGTCTTATATTTTGCAGGGACAAGCAAAGGTGTATGTAATAAATGCGCGAAACCAAAATATTTTGTCAAAAGTGCCTAACGAAAGAATATGCAGCCGATGCGGCCAAGCGTATATGGTAGATAAACAGTGCTTTGCTGTACAGCAACAAAACTGTATATATCATTGGGGAAGAAAGTTTACAATTAAAGGCGAGGGCAAGTATAGTTGTTGCCAGCAATACGGATCCGCTACTGGTTGCTGCGACGCAAAGACACATGTATGGGATTACACAGATTATGAAAATCTTCGCGGTTATGTGAGAACTTTATCGAAAGGTAAGGTATTTCCAGTTCTTTATGTATTTTTCCTATATATCTAATTGTAAGTATATCATTGTATTATATGATTAATTTTTTTTTTTGCATTGTTAACAAAACAAAGATGTTTCTATGGACGAGCAAGGTGTCTATGCACTTGATTGTGAAATGTGTTATACTACGCATGGTTTAGAATTGACTAGAGTAACAGTCATTGATGAAGATTGCAACGTAATATATGAAACGTTAGTCAAACCACAAAATACGATAATTGATTATAACACAAGGTAAATGATAAGATCTAAAATATTGATTGGGCATAATACTTGTTATATGTGTCGTTTACAATATCAGTATTTATCAGTATGTAACAAGTAATTTTTTATGTTGATAGGTTCTCAGGGATTACAGAAGAGGATATGAAAGACGTGACGACGACTATTTTAGATGTACAAGCTACACTTCTCACAATGTTTTCGGACAAAACAATTCTGGTGGGTCACAGTCTTGAAAGCGATTTTAAAGCTTTGAGGCTGCTTCACGATACCGTTGTGGATACCAGCGTTATGTTTCCACATAAGAATGGATATCCACAGAAACGGGCATTGAAAAATCTTTGTTCTGAATATCTCAGAAAACTTATACAAAATGATAGTGAGTATGACAGTTAATTTTTATACCTAAAAAGGAAGAGAGGTGTTTATATAAAGGGGAAAGAAACAATAATACATATATTTATAATAATAAATATAATATATTCAATAATAATAAATATATAATAATATAATATACTCAGTAAATATATATATATATATATATATATATATTTATTTAATAATAAATTTGCATTCTAGTTGGTGGTCATGACAGTAAAGAAGATGCCGTCGCTTGTATGGAATTAATTCGCTGGAAAGTGAAGGAAGCAGCGAAATTACAGTAAATAAGGCTGCGTTCGCAGTTTATTACGAACAAATATCGTGATTGCTGTAAGATTACAGCGGCGTGTCAACTTGTAATGTTGCGCATACTTTACTGCCGTATGTGTGTATCATACTTTCTTATGTATAAATATGTAATATACATTCATTGCGTCGATTTAAAGATTTTCTTTCACACTAAATTCGAGATCGTAAATAGTTGATAAGATCACACATTCGCGACATCAATTCTCGTGACATTTATATACAAAGCGATAATAAAGAATCGATGTAAGGGTTTTCGATATACGCATCACGATATTTCGATTAATATTTTTATACTCCGTTATATTATTGCTTATTTATATTTTATAGCATTAAAAGAAACGAGATACGTCGCATCTGTTTATTTATTGACCCAACCTTGGTAGATGTATTTCACCTTGGTAGATGTATTTCAGGATTTGTAATAAATCAACAGAACAGCTTATTAGTGACATTGCACGTTTGATTCAAGTGGAAAACAAATATATTAATTTTTTTATACTGCAATTGCATTACATAAATGTATTTATTAACACCTATGCATGAAATATGCTTTTATGGATAATTGCTACAATCATGATAGTGTTTTAATAAAAATATCTCAGGGTTTTGTGAAGATGTATTGTGTATCACATGATGATGCATACATATATGTATATTTTTATGATATAATATAAATCTAATAGTTAGATATTCGCAATAGTATGACTGTTACTATATAGATATCAATATTTATTTAGGAATAAACTATGGCAAAGCAATTTAAAGCAAAATTGAAAAATGACAATGTTGCAGTAAATGTTGAAGAGAAATTAAGTTATATATATTTTATACATATGTATATATATTATTTATAAAAAAATTGTGCAAGAGCTTGTGTTAAATTGATATATAATTTATATATATGCGTATATATATATATAATTAGATTTTCCAGAAGGAAATAAAGCAAAATTAAATAAAAACAAGATAATATACTGTATATAAATCTTATGTGATTCACAATTATTCTATTTCTTTCGATATTCAATATCTCACTATATATATATATATATATTAGGAGACGCGGTAGTGTCTCCGGCCATGTTCAAACCCTAAAAGACCTTAATTCAAACTCTAAAAGACCTTAAAAGACACTACAAGTCTCCTTATCCTGCACCATCAAAGTCCATTTTTTGGGGGTGTAGAACTACTAAAATATAAAAAATTTGAAATGCACGTAATATAACCTGAAAGGCGGCATCGCCACGAGTAATTTGAGCCAAGAAAAAATAAAATCGGTCAAGCCGTTCCGGAGATACAAGCGGTCAAAAAGTGACGTTTTTCATGAAAAATTAAGAAACGTCGTCTTCTTCTTCTTCTCTGTCCGCTGACGTCATCAGGATTATATATATATATAAATCTCTTCTCACCTTTCACTCACACCTCCCTCAACTTCCACCCACCTCTTTCCCTCCCACATCCCGTCCCCACGCCCCCACTCCCACCACCCCACTCCCAACCCTCTTCGCCCTAATTCACCCTCTTTCGTCCTCTCTCTCTCACCCTCTTTCACCCTCTCTCACCCTCTTTCACCACTCTTTCATTCCTCTTTCACCCTCTTTCACCCCTCTTTCGTCCTCTTTCACCCCCTTCGTCCTCTTTCGTCCTCTTTCACCATCTTTCGCCTCTTTCACCCTCTTTGTCCTCTCTCACCCTCTTTCACCTCTTTCACCCTCTTTCACCCTCTTTCACCCTCTTTCACCTCTCTTTCGTCCTCTTTCACCCCCTTTCTTCCTCTCGTCCTCTTTCACCCTCTTTCGCCTCTTTCACTTCACCCTCTTTGTCCTCCTCACCCTCTTCCGTCCTCTTTCACCCCCTCTTTGTCCTCTTTCATCCATCTTTCGTATCTTTCATTCTTTCACCCTCTTTCGCCTCTTTCAGCGTCCTCTCTTCAATCATCCTTCTCCTCCTCTTTCACCCCCTTTATCTTTCTCTTTCACCCTCTTTCGCCTCTTTCACTCTTCACCTCTTTCGTCTTTCGTCCTCTTTCACCTCTTTCATTTTCCTCTTTCGCCCTCTTTCACCCCTCTTTCGCCCTCTTTCACCCTCTTTCATTTGTCTCTCTCACCCCTTTCACCCCCTTTCGTCCTCTTTCATCACCCTCTTTCTCCTCTTCATCCCCCTTTCGTCCTCTTTCACACCCCTCTTCGTCCTCTTTCACCCTCTTTCATTTCCTCTCGCCTCTTTTGTCCTCTCTCACCCTCTTTCGTTCTCTTTCACCCTCTTTCGTCCTCTTTCACCCTCTTTCGCCTCTTTCACCTTCTTTCGTCCTCTTTCACCCTCTTTCAACCTTCTTTCGTCCTCTTTCACCATCTTTCGCCTCTTTCACCATCTTTCGCCTCTTTCACCATCTTTCGTCCTCTCTCACCCTCTTTCATTCTCTCCCACCCTCTTTCACCCTCTTTCATTTCCTCTCACCCCCTTTCGTCCTCTTTCACCCTCTTTGTCCTCTCTCACCCTCTTTCGTTCTCTTTCACCCTCTTTCGTCCTCTTTCACCCCTCTTTCGCCTCTTTCACCTTCTTTCACCCTCTTTCGTCCTCTTTCACTCTCCTTTGTCCTCTCTCACTCTCTTTCATTCTCTCTCACCCTCTTTCGATCTCTCTCACCCTCTTTCGTCCTCTTTCTTCACTCTCCTTTGTCCTCTCTCACTCTCTTTCATTCTCTCTCACCCTCTTTCGTCCTCTTTCACTCTCTTTCGTCCTCTTTCTCTTCTTTCGCCCTCGTTCACTTTCGTCCTCTTTCACTCTCTTTGTCCTCTCTCACTCTCTTTCATTCTCTCTCACCCAATTTCGTCCTCTTTCACCCTCTTTCGCCTATCTCGTCTTCTCTTACCCTCATTCGTCCTCTCTCACCCTATCTCCAAAAAATCATAAAAATGAAAAGGTCAAGCCATGTTCAAAAGAAGGTCCTCAAAAATTAAACCTAGTCTGTACAATAAAAAATAATTACTCGTAATTCCAGAGTTCCAATTTGTTAATGTCGAATAATGTATTTGTTTCAAGTAATGGCAGTAGAGTTAAATACATACCTACGTATATGCAGTTTTTCCTGTTAAATGTACTTGAACGAAAAAAATAATTAAATGATTTAAATATAGTACATTTTAAATCAAGAAACTTATACTATAATCGAACTCTGTTTAGAAAGAATGTTTGTTTCAATCACAATCACAATACCATTTTCTATTGTTTCTCTTATTATTATCAATAATGTTATTCATTAAATAATTATAGTATCAATAATGTTTTGCGATTTATTTAACAATTCATAATATGTTAGGGTTATAAAGTTCTATCTGTAGGGTTTTTATTTAAATAAAATGAAGAATGTATATATATGTATATTTATTTATTTATGTATATATGTAACAATGTAATATATGTATATATGTATATTATTATGTATATTATTACATATTATTCGGCGTTTCGCCGTCCCCGTCCTCGTCCGCCTTCTCTTCCGCCTCTCCTCGGCCTGTTGCCCCAATAATAATAGGGCGAGGATAATTTTAGGAGGAAGCGCATAAAGCGCTCCTCCTGGACGCGAACCCCGGCGCGTCTTCCTCTGTAAACTGTAATTAAAAAGAAATTATTTTAGTAATTAGATAATATGGTATAATTAGGTATATCTAGGTATGGTATAAATAATAAATGTATAATATTTTATAATAAATGTTATAATAATATAAGGTTAATATTTATATCAAATATATAAATATTTTATTAATTAGAATATATTTAAACTATTATAATTTATAAAAATCCTTTATTTCATTAATCCTTACTTCTTTATTCCCCTCATAAAATCTTTCTCTATCGCGCCCTCGCGTCTTCCTTCTTCCTCTCTTTCCCTCTCTTATCTCATTCCTCCTTATTCTCCTCTTTCCGCCCTCTTTCTTATTCTTTCTTCCTATATCCTCTTTCTTTTTTATCCCTATCTCTTCTCCTTTCCCTGTTTCTTCCCTTTCCTAATTCCTTCCCTTATCTCTTGCTTCCCCCCTCCCTGAGTTCGCTAAATCTGCCCCCTTCGTTCCTGCGCTGTCCCATGTCCTATTTATTTTTTCCTCCCTCTATAATGTCCTTCTTCTTCCCTTTCCTCCTTCCTTGCTCTTATCTTATGATAATCTCATTATTCTTTGGGACCATGATCTCAACATGAAAATTTAATTCCATATTATCACAGATGTTACCATCAATTTCATCAATTTTAAAACTTTCCTGACTGAAATTTGAATCCGAGATAGATAGAGAATCGTACACCGCGTAACGGTTAAAGAAGAAATTAGCAATTATTGCATAACTGTGACGTATCGTTTATGTCAATAACGTAATGAATCTATAATTGTTACATAAAATTGTTATGTAATTTTGGCGTTACTTTATGTATTTATGTATTTTGGTTAATGTAAATGTGTATACTCTAAAAGTTTCGTAAATACTACGTAATTTTAATGACATAATTGTAACGTTATGTTAAATACGTAACATTTATGTATTTTGGTTAATGTAAATGTGTATATCCTAAAAGTTTCGTAAATGCTACATAATTCTAATAACTAATTGCAACGTTATATTAAATACGTAACAATATTTTGTTGACATCAATGTATACATTCTGTAAAAACTTTACATACATCATTACATACAGTATAATAACAAATTGCGATATTTTTTTTATTTAATGTGACATCGCAATTTCGTTATTATAATTATATAATAGTTATAATAAGGTTCTTACAGAATATATACATTGATATCAACAAAATAATATTAATGTTACATATTTAACAGAACGTTACAATTATGTCATTAAAATTACGTAGTATTTACGAAACTTTTAGAGTATACACATTTATATTAACCAAAATACATAAATGTTACATAACAAAATAACACCAAAATTGCATAACAATTCATTACGTTATTGACATAAATGATACGTCATTGTTTTGTTTCGCCCGATCTATAACATATACATATATAGATTATTATGTAATTGTTTCGTAAATGATCCCTTCGTGTTTACTGGGTATCAGAGATGACAAAATATCAATTAATTTTTTATAATTGAACAAATGATATGAACAGATTCAATTAAATATTTTTTAATTGACGATTAATTTTAGAAAGATTAAATAGATTTCGTTACAATGACGATTGATATAAACTAGATTAATCGAAGATCGTTTAATTAACAATTAATATGATCGAAGTCAATTAAAGATTATTTAATTGACAATTGATATAAACGAAATTAATCGGAGAACGATCGATTAACAATTAATACAAGCTAATTTAATTAAAAGTTTTTTAATTAACGATTGATATGAGTTAATTTTAATTAGATGTACTTTAATTGACGATTGAAAAAAACAGATTCAATCGAAGACAATTCAATTGACAATTGATTTGAGTAGAAACAATTAAAAAATATTTAATTGACGATTAAATATAGCAAATTTAAT